CTGGAGAGATGGCTCAGCCATTAAAGGCTAGGCTCACAACCAAAAAGGGCTTCTGGGGAACTGAGTGGGGTTTGGGTGGGGAGCTGGAGGCCTGGTGGGAGGAGCTGCCATGGAGGGGAGGGAGAGGGAGCTGGGACTGACATGGGAAGCAAGCTTGTTTCTAATTTAAATATATAATAATAATAATAATAATAATAATAATAGACTCCCCACTGGATGGTGGTGGCACACACACCTTTAATCCCAGCACTCGGGAGGCAGAGGCAGGAGGATCTCTGTGAGTTCAAGGCCGGCCTGGTCTACAATGCTACACAGAGAAACCCTGTCTCGAAAAACAAAAAAAATAAATAAATAAAGACTCCCCACAAAAGCACAGATGCCTCCTTGCGCACCAGTGACATTTGAAAGAAACCACTTCAACCCTCTGTGAACTTGTTCTCTGGTTACATTTTCTGCTCTCAGTCACTCTCAGTTAGGTGCCTGGTCCCTTACACCATTTTGAATATCATTTCTATGAAGACTTCAAAAAACATTCACTGGACTGACCATTGGATGGGTCACATTGGCATTTCATACTATATGTGTGTCCTCCACCCACGCTGGTCACTTTCTTGTAAGAAGCATCCTTTCAGGGATTGACCATCAGGATTTGTCCAGACTTACTAATGCAGGGGTATTTAAGCTATTCTCAAGCATTGTTCCTTCTTCACATCCATACTGACTATATATTACATTGCTCTCCTGTCAGATTTACACAGTAAAGCAAATTACTCAGAAATGTCGACAATGCAGGTTACTCAGTTTTATCACTGTTTTTCTCCTTTGGCTGAATCAGGGCAGGTGGTAAACAGTCTGACCAGACTAGCATCAGGAACAGAAAAAAAAGACTATATCTCTTCATCCATGGGCATGAAAATTAAATCCAGGAGCATCCTGCAGGGCTGCGGGGGGTGGGGTTGTGGACAAGGACCATGTGACACACAGAGTCACCTCAGAAGCCCTGTACTAACACTTGTCACTATTCAAAACCATTCTTTTCAATCTATCCCCACCAACACCCCCATGTTATCAGCAGAGGCAAACAGGGTCGAGAAACACAAGGAGCTAGTCACAGTGCCAGAGTAGGTCAGGGCACTTCAAGTTCACAGAAGCGATACACCAAAGATTATTTTAGGGCTCATCTACCCACTCACATTACAGCACAAAGAACTGAATCTCTGGAGGGATAAGTGACCTGCTCAAGGTCACAGTGAGCCATGTCAGGGATTACTAGAACCTGGCACTAAGTTTCCCTGCTATGTTTTAGCACTCATCCTTTTACAGTCTGTTTTTCTGCTACACGGTGTCTCCAAATTTCCTCAAGTCTACGGGGATGTCTTTCTTTCCTGATGTCACATCATCTTCACATTCATCAGCACTATTAAACAGCATGCCCTTGACAGCCCTGAATCCTAGGACTTGATCATTCAATTCAAGTGTCATTTTTAAACCCTCCTACTCAGCTCACTGACATAGTGGAGATTCCCAGAGAGATGCTTTCCTTTCTTGATGATGCTTGGCATGTCCCTCTCTACCCAGTACCTGTCCTGTATAAATAGCACCCTTCCTCCAGAATGCCAGCTTGACAACTGCCAAGAATATAAGCATCCAGTAGAACCCTGATTCTACCACTTACTTTCAGTGTGACGTTGTACTGCAATCTCTAAGAACGCTTCCTCGTCTATCAAATGGGACTAACAGTAGTTCATCCTCCATATTATTTTGTAAGAATCAATAATACATGGCAAGAGTAAAACTCTCAGCATGGCATTAAAGATTCAATAAGTACTTGCTATTCCTTGATCACTTTTGGGGAGAATTTACTTTATCAGTGACATTGACATAATCAGATTCAAAAAGAGTGGCCCAAGCATAGAAACTTGGGAGATCTCTCACATCTAACTATGAATTCCCATCTACAAAAAGTATGTTTGATTTCATGGAGGAGCTTAGAAATAGAAAAAGCAATGAATCCAAAAGAAAAAATAATTTCTTAGAAATTACCAGCAACTCCAATAAAAGACAGAAAGTACTGAATAAGGATGCTAGAGAGCGTATGCAGAGAAGGATCTTAATTGCCCCCAACTAAATTTTTGTATTTTTGCAACATTTAGTGAAATTAACATCTGAGCACAAGTCATGGCAGAGAGGACTTTGCCAAACACCATCACACCCTAGTGGTGGCTCCACACTCCCCACTAGTGGCAGGATTTGAGCCCCAATTTTGCACACAGCTATGACCCCTCCCTAAAAGAGGGAAGTCTTGGTGAGAATCTGGCCTAACTGGCCAAAAGCAAACACTAGCAAGCATGAAGAAAGGTCCAGAGGTGCAATGGAGCTGCCTGAGGACACTGGGAAAGAGGTGACCATAAATAGTTCACACTGCCCACCCCTTCTGGTGCTGCCACCAGCCCTCATCGCCAGCCAGCCTGGCCCTCTAAGAGCTCATTGTGCACTCCGTGTTTACATGCAAACAGTCGAAGACCAACACAAATAAAAAGCCCACGTCTCCCTACACAGCTCCTGCTATACCCTGCCATCTGCTGAGTACCTCACTAGCCAAATCCCTGTCGGGAGCTCTTGAGCTGCCAATGCAGGACTCTGGGGTGGGGAAGGGGTGGAGGTGGGAACCCAATTCCCAGCCAGGCTCAAAAAGCTTAGTGCAGTCTAAGAGGCAAGTGTCTGGCCATTCAGGGGTGGGGGCAGAAGGTTACCAGTCACCCAGTTCCTGCCTATGTGTCAGTAAAATGCTCCAAATGGATTGTAGCAGGGACTCTCAAGCTTATTCTGAGGGGCTCAAGACTTCTAGCTCAGGACTTTGCTTGACTCTTACTGAGGTACCGTTCCTCTTCAAAGCCAAAGTTAAAAATGGCAAGGAGTGCTAGCTCCAGGAATTTTGAGACAACTCTATGGGTAGCTGGACTTGATTCCCACAGCTTTGATGAACTGGAATGCTCTGGAGTTCTGACTGCCAACGCAAGCACCACTCAGGGGCCAGCATTCCTTCTTCCTCACTTTAAGAGCTATGCAGGAGAACCTCCACTCCTGGCATCTCATGCTATACCAGGGAGAGATAAGTCAGGATGGAGGGAAAGGGGTGTGATTCAAAGTGGTGAGGATGGCATTTGTGCATTTGGAGAGAACACACATACACACTAAGCATCTGGAGCTACTGTTGAGCCTGAGGGAACTTAGAGCCCTAAAGAACTCCACCTAGACCCCTATGTTCCCCTTTCCTTGGATGTGAGCAACTCAAGGGTGCACCTGGGAAAGGCTCCTGCGCCTTTGTAAGCACGTGTCTGAGAGAGAGAGAGAGAGAGAGAGAGAGAGAGAGAGAGAGAGAGAGAGAGAGAGAGAGGGGGGGGAGGGAGGGAGGGAGGGAGAGAGAGAGAGGGAGGGAGGGAGGGAGAGAGAGAGAAACACAGAAAGAGAGACAGAGACAGGGAGAGATTGTGTGTGTTTGTGTGTCACAAGTCACACTCTGTTTGCACTGCCATGGGAAGTTCACTGGGAACCCCAGGAGTTCTGCTCTGCCCCCTCCAGAAAGCTCCACATACTCAAGTAACAGCTAGTCAGAAAGGCACAGGCCACCCAAACCTGGTGACCAGCCTGGCTGCTGGCTCAAATGAGTAAAAGGGAGTCAAAATGAAAAGGAGGGAGAGTATTGCAAAATATATTTGAAAACATCAAGACCCCCAGGGGAATACAATCTAGTCCATTACTCTGTAGGTCTTCTCCAGTAAGCAAAGAGTTAACCTAGGAGGTTCCGGACTGGCTCCTAAGAATGCCAACCAGGAAAGCCCATCACTTCGCGACCCTAGAACCCGATCTAGATCCCCAGAAAACCAGGATTTTGCAGAAGCTTCTCCATGGGAGCCTTTGGCGCCTCTCCCGCACTGTTGTTGGCCTGACTCCGACAACCAATCGGGCCCCGCGCCCCCAAGAGGGGAGGAGAGACCGAGCGAGGAGCGAGCGCGGGAGAGCTAAGGGGAACAACATTTTTGTAAACGCTCTCTGAGATAATTAAGCTATCAATTACCCGGGTGGGAAATCAGCCGCGCTTCCCACAGCTCCACGGAAGGGCCGACTCCTCCGGGATTCGCGCCGGGAATCAGCAGGCGGCAAGCTGCTAGCTAACTTTCTGATTAACTTTTCTATTTGAGCCCCTTACCCCCACCAGTTTCCTCTCCTGTCTTTTCTCGTTTTTATTATTACCACTAGCCCAGTAAGTGAACAGCAAGGACAAGCGTACTCGCGATTAGGAGGAAGGGAGAAGGTGATACGGATAGCGGGGATGGAGGGAGAATCTAACAGTGGGGAGCCTGGGCTCAGAACCCCAGTCCTCAAACATTACTCAACCGATTCCAGCCCCAATTCACAGAAGGCCAAAACCGAAGCTCAAAGGGGAAGCGACTTAGCCAAGGTCACCAAGTCCATACGGAAGCAGAGCTTTTGCGGACTGGGTCTTTCCTTTTTTCACGTAGCTACTCTGCTAGGAACCTGAGAAAAACCCATCTGGAAAGGCAGAACCCACAACTCCGAGACCACAGCGGGCAGAAAGTGGAGCTGTCCAGAGGAACTGCGCGCGGCTTGATCAGTAACTGGCTTCAACACAAGGGTCTTCCTTGCCCAGTCCCTGGTCAGAGCACAAGGAGCGACTTGGGGTCTCCAGCGTCCGGGATGCAAGGGGCGGAGCTCAGAGAATGGGTTGCAAAGAGGAGGGCCAGGTCCTCACTGCGGGATCCTTGGCACGCCCCCGGGCTCCCAGAGCGCGCGCTCCAGGACCTCCTGCCCCATAAACCTTTCCAACCACCTGTGCGCCCTCCGGGCCCCTCTCCTGCCCTTTGCCAACCCAGATGGGGCAGCCTCAAGCGGGGATCCCCAGGGCGCCCCCACCCGTCTGGCATCACTTAGGGGTTCCGGGTTCCTTGGGACTCCGCGTGTGCGGCGCCTACCCTTACCCAGGGTGAAGAAGGGCAGCTCGGTGTTGTCCAGGTCATCTTGCACCGCGATGCGTCCGGGGAGCTCGTTACGCACAAAGAGCAGGAGACGAGACTCCGCGGCTGTGCCGGTTGAGCCCGACGAGCCCGGGGACGCGGCGGCCGCGGCAGCAGCGGCTCCGGCTCCGGCCCCGGCCCCAGCACCGGTCCCGGCCGCGGCCCCGGCGCGGGCACCGCTCCAGCCGATGTCGCTTTCCCGCAGGGCAGGCAGCGTGGACACGGTGACGGTCTTGAGCCGGCATGGACTGTCGGGCTCCCGCGAGGCGGCGGCGGTGGCGCCGGCCAGCAGCGGCGGCGGCGGCAGCAGAAGCAGAAACAGCAATAGCAGCGGCGGCGGTGGCGGCGGCGGCCCCGGGTGGAAGCCGAGGCTCGGCCGCCCCCGAAGCCCCAAGCCGGGGCCCGGACTCCGCCGGGCTCCGGTGGCGGCCATGGCGGGAGGGGCTGCGGTGCTGCGGGCGGTGGCGGCGGTGGCGAAGAAGGAAGAAGAAGCAGCGGTGGAGACGGCGGACACTGAAGCGAACCAGGACGCCAGAGCTAAGGAGCCTAGAGAGCCACTAGCCAGCAGCCCCCAGCTCTGGGCTCCGCCTCCCGATCGGCCCTGGACCGCCCCCCCGCGCCGCCTCCCAGCGCCCCGCAGCCGGCCCCCCTTCACCTGCTCCCCTGGCGGACCCGAGCGTTTTGGAGGCTCCGCCCGGCCTCGTGAAGGTCCCAGTAGCTCCCTCCCCTTTCCCAGGATCCCCACTATGCCTCTGCACTAGGTTTCTCAGCTCCAATACCCCTCTCTAAAATTCTTAACACTTAACAGCCCTCTTACTTCTCCTCCAATCCCTCCTAGGTCATCTCAACTCTCCTAGCTTCACCCCTCCCTTGGCTCAAACCCCAGGCTGCCCCTGGGGGCACACCTTAACCTAGACTCAGCATGGCCCTGATTCCTGGAGGTTAGTGTGCCCCTGCATAGGGAAGACAACTTTCTCTTCTCTATGCCAATCTCACAAACGGGTCTCTTCGATCTTCTACCCAGGTTTAGTGTCTGAAATAAGTTCCAAATCACTTGTCCGCAATCTCTATCAGGACAACACCTGGCCCCTCTATCCAGGTCTGGGTTGTTTAATGTTACTGTACACATAAAGCTTAGAAAATCATTCTCCAATACCCTCCCCACGAGCTGACTTGGCAGCTCTGGCACCTAGCTGCCTCCCTGCCAGGAAGCCCACGGGGCACTTTTACTTTGCATCCCTGCTCTGAGTCTGGAGCAGCTCTATATGGCTGAGAAGTTCCTGAAAAGGGTGCTAGGTAAAGACCTATCCTGGCTCCCTAAGCATCTGGGTCCTTTCCCAGTTCCCACAGGAAAGGGCTCTACACACACACACACACACACACACACACACACACACACACACACACACACACACACACACAACACACACACTACTTACTTCCCTGAAGAATCAAGTTTAATTGTAAATCTGGGTCTTCGAGTATTGCACCCTGCGGCCTTGGACTGATTCCAGACTCTAACCTAGACACTTCAGACCTGCCCCCAAAATGAGCCATCACCTCTTTAAGAGCTGAGGCAGAACTCTCCTTTGACTACTCAGGCTTTTCTTCATCTTTTTTGCCTCTTTCTGTCCTTTCTTTCATCTCTGCACCCATTTCCTTCTTCCCTGCACTGACTTTAATCTTATAAATGCTTCCTCCCTGTAATTTATGAACCATTTCCCTCCCCTGTCTAGCTTGGCCACCTGTGTCTTACTGCAGTCTTAGCATTGGCAAGATTGTTTTCCTAACTTTTCCCTTTCTGCCTCTTCCCTCTTAGCTTCCGAATGGATTCCTCTTTCCTTCTCCCCCCGCTATTTTCAAAGTCTGTCTCTAAGCCTTTGATAAAGGCAGATAACTAAAAACAAGGAAAACGCAGGTCTGTGCTTCGTCTCAGGTCGGTAGACCTGTGCACACGTAAGCTTCATACATAACCATAATCTAGTGAGCTGGGCGTCATTATTTCCAGTTTCTGGATAAGAAACGTGAGAACAGGAAGTCAGAGAAATGAAGAGACCCTCCAAGGTAGCTTGGCTAAGAACCTGGAATTGAACTCTCAACCTCTAATCCTAGGCTTTTTCTTTGAAATTATATTGTCCTCGGTGACCTTGGAAGTTGGGTCGTTTCTTCTTTGAGATTTGTAAGGATTCAGTCTCCTGTCCCCATTTATTTATCTGTATAACCCAAGGGGTGGAGAGTATCATCTAGCCTTTTAGGTCTTCTGATTCTAAATGGTCTCCTGCCTCTCTACTGCCTGCTCCAGCTCCTTTACTCCTCCAGATTTGCTGCCCTGCCTCCCTCAGTCTCTCCTTTGTACCCTTACAATCCACCACTATCCTCTGCCATGGGGCTTTCTGATTCTCTATGGCCCTTTCTTCAAATATGCTGACATAGTCCATTTATAGAAGTGCACACTAGGAAAAAAAAGGACTCCCTTATGTAAGGCAGAGTCTGTGCAAGTCCTTCATGGGCCTCTGATACAAAGGCCTGTCAAATGAGAGGAACACTTCCATTCATTCATTCAACAAATACCCTACGAAGCACTATATGGGCATGCGGTGATGGATAAACACAGCTACTACCTTTACAGACCTAAAAAATGATGTATTAGGGAGGTCTAGGAGAAAAACCTGTGCAGAAATATCTCAGGTGCCACAGGCAGACAGACCAGAAGGCAAACTCTGTGAGGTGTTCAGTGATTACAATGGGAAAAATCAGAGAAAACTTCCCAGAGATGGTGGCAGGCACTGGGGTTAATCCATAAAGGCTGGCAGCATCTGATATGTATTGTTGAAGTTCCAGCTGCAACAGCTTAGTCTCTAAACGGATCTTTTCCCTGCATCAGAAAGTGTTTTATCATCAGAGGTGCAGACAAAGGAGAATTTAAATATTTCTAGATGTTTTATCAATCTGCACTGCAGTTAAGACTTGAACACATGGTGCAGACTTTACCCATCAGACTAAGCTACTCTGGATTCTGGGAGGGAAAGTCTCATCATGCAGAATCCATCAGGTGTCAAAGTATCAACTTTTCGGGCAATTACATCCAGATTTCATTGCTTGCAGAACCACTTTCACTGTTTGGAGTCTGGTGTCTTGGTATAAACCAATGACAATCATTGGTGAATTTCTCCATGTGGTGCATAGTGTGACTGCTGTTGCAATAATATCTCCACCAGGCTGGTTCTATGTGGTGATTTTTATCTGTGCTCTGGACATCAGGGATTCTCAGACCAGACCCTAGACTCATTTGGTGATTCTGTGTGACCTAACCTCACAGAATGTTGTTTTCTCTTTTTACTTACATTATTCAGAATTAGATTCTGTCACTTGCAACTCACACATCTGTCTGAGAACCCAGGAATGTGGAAAGAGAGGGCAGAAGGGCAAAGATTGTGATGGGGAATGGAGGAAGTCCAGTGAGGTGGGGGCGACAGAGAGAATGGAGGTCATTACAGAAAAGTCAGCCACAGAGTACAGAGCCAACTTCAGTGTCAACTCTGGAGTTAGCACAGGAAAAGAAGTAGGGTTTCAGAGTACACGATCTCTGACTCCAGGAACTTCTGTAGACGCGTGTCAATGGATGTTTATCATTTCTGACTTGCACACAGTGGGTGCTCAATAAATTCTAATTATTATTCTGATATGCGACGTCAGAAACATCTGGAATAAAACATTTTAATTCACAGTTGCTCACAGATGTGAGCTCAGAGGCCAAAGACAGACGGGAAACTTGGTTTTACCTCGCACTTTCTAAGAAACAGAAAGCAGAAGTACCTGACTTTCATTCTGGCTGCCTGAGGCAGTCTCCTTGCAGGCAGTCCCTTCCAGATTTCAATGCCCATCCTTGTGTTTGATGGCCACTGCTCTTTTCCCCCACAGCCTTTCTCTTTTCTTTACCTTCTATTCACTTTATTATTAGCTTAATTAGTTTTATTTCATCACGGATTTAATTTTTTTTCTTGTCTAGGGCCCCCTAGACCTCCGCTTAGGACTCTGCTAATCTAAAATTCCATTTGACTTTAACTCCTTCCTCTCTTCCCCCAAATGATTTCTGGTTGCTTCATCTCCTGTATTTCACGTTTACCTATAGGTAAATTTGTAAGAGATTTCTCCCCCTTTTTTTTCCAGAGACGGCCCATGTTTCTTAACAAAAGGGACAACCCGACATATCCATTCACGAGTACGTTTAGGAACATTAGAACTGACAATGCCCACCCCTTCCAACTCTCCTCTGTCTAAGACCCACCCTAAACTTAGTTTGGGCCCTTTAAAAATTTGAGGGCCTTCTAGCAATGTACTGTCCAAACTCTCTGCTTTTCATGTTCCCCATCCACTTGTCCCTGTGGGCTGTAGACAAAAATCTGCAAGACTCTGCTCAATCACTCAGGTCCAGACCGAAATCTGGATATAACTCCTTGGTGGTGACACCCGGGGTCAGAGCCAACTTTCCCAGCCCAGCGGCATCTACACCACTTCCTTGATGTCACTGTACTCATGGAGGAGAGAGGTATGGTCCTCCAGCTCACCCCCACGGCACCTTCTAACTGGGAAATCTCTTTGTCCAGCATGTCCCGTTTCTCCTTCCGTTTCTGAATGTCAGAGTTCAAAGATTCCTCACTGATCTCATCATCCTCTTCCAACTTGGAGATGAACGCGGTGAACAGAAGGCCGAATCCTAACTTAGTCAGTCCTCCTGAGCCCTTAGGTCTGAGGGGGTCGTCTTGTACTCAGAGGGGTCCAAAGTTGGGTTTAGACGGATGCCCCAGGTAACCAGAAATCAGCAATGGAGACCACCAACTGACTTCTCTTTTTCTTTTTTTTTTCCATTATTTTCCATCCTTTATTCAGATCTACAAAATCTTCTCTAGTCACACTACCTGGAGGGGTTGGCAAACCAGGGGCTGGGAAGGGAACCTGTACTTATACACAAGCTTTATTGTTAATCTACTGGGCCTTTTGATTTCTCATTTGTGAGATGGGCAAGATACTCCCCATGTCTCAGGGTCACTATGGGAATTAAATGAGACCATGCTTAGGAAACTGTCTCACACCCATGAAGCTCTCTTTAATGTTACAGAGTCTTCACCATGACCATTTGGCCCCTTATAGAGATCTCTTTTCCGTTATTCAAGTATTTCAAGCTCTTGGACCCAGCAACTTCATACACTTTCCTCTCTGCCTACAGAGACTTCCCTTTCATTCATCTAGCCAACCCCACTCTCTATTTGCCAATTAATAAAATATATTCTTTATTATGACCTCCCAGACAGCTTGTTACCCACTCTCAGTTTTCTGCTCCCACATTTTTTATGGTTTAGCACAGTTTTTTATTGAGTTTATTCAATATTTTAATGATAGCCAGTTCCCTAGTGTTGTTTCTGTATATACTTCCCACTAGGCTATGGGCTCTAATATATCAAGCATGTAGGCCTGGGGAGCAGGAACAGATCAGTTAGTAAACTGCTGCCTTGCAAGTATGAGGTCCTGCGTTCACTTCCAAGGAAGCATATAAAAAGCAAATCATGTTGGCATGTTCTTGTAATACCAG